CATGGGCCCCACCCAGCTCTGCCCTTTTCAGACATTGCAGATCCATGTTTGCAGACCCACTGCCAAGTTTGCCAAAGACCCACTATTCCCCACCATCGCCTAGATACAGAGACTAAGGCAGAGCTGGCAGTTATGATGACACTTTTACTACCAGGTTCTTATGCCAGGCCTGCTTTGCCCATTTGTGTTATCGCACGGCCTCTGTAGCCATGTGAATAAGGCCTCACCACTATCTAAGGCAGAGGATGCCCTGACGTGATCTCAGTCCTTGAAGAAAGAAAAAGGAAGTAGGAAATTTATTTATTGTCTATTATATGCCAGGCAGTAAGATAGGACCTTATACATATTGTTTAATTCTTTTTTTTTTTTTTGCAGTTTTTGGCCAGGGCTGCTGGATTCGAACCCACCACCCTTGGTATATGAAGGCTGGCGCCCTACTTCTTGAGCCACAGGCGCCGCCCCCATATTATTTAATTCTAATTGGTTTCCCCATCTTTTGATCTAGTTTCCACACATGATATTTGCAGTGATCTTTGCAAAGCACAATTCAGATCCTTTTGCTGTCCTCCTAAAAGCTGTTCGATCATTTCCTATTGTCACCACCAGGATAGCCTACCAGTGGTTCTCAACCTTCCTAATGCCTACTTCATGAAGTAGCAATGAAAATAATTTTATGGTTGGGGTCACCATAACATGAGGAACTGTATTAAAGGGTCACGGCATTAGGAAGGTTGAGAACCACTGGCTAACTCCTTTAACTTGCTTCTATAGCCACTGGGGTGGTGGCGGTGGTATTTCTCTTTGTTGTTTTGTTTTGTTTTGTAGAGACAGGGTCTTACTCTGTTGCCCAGGCTGGGGTGCAGAAGCAGCACAATCATAGCTTTCTGAAGCCTTGAACTCCTGGGTTCAACCAAACCTCTTGCCTATAGGCACCCCAAAGTGCTGGGATTACAGGTGCAAGCCACAGTGACCATCCTGCTTTTTTTTTTCTTTTTTTTGAGACAGAGTCTCACTTTGTCACCCTTGGTAGAGTGCCATGGCATCATAGCTCATAGCAAC